TTAATTGAATTCGCGCAAATTTTTACGATTCTGACCTTTACGCTCGTAATTTATTCGCAAAAAAACAAATTTGTATTGATTCGGCACATTAAAATGTTGAAAGCAAATCTATAAAAACAACAACACGTCATTATTTCAACAATTATGTCATTGTTTTGAATGTTAATAAAGAAAAACCTCGCGATGACATCAGCTCTTAAGCAAACCGACAAAATAACCATTAAATGCATGCTAAATATCAAGTAACAAGTACATAACAGTATATTACCGATAAGTGGCGCGGCTTATCAATTGTAAACAAATAAAAATTACAACAATACGAAATCAGCGGGCGCTTATCGTCCGCGAAGGAGCCGGCGTGTAATTTAGAAATTTTCGATTTGAAGAAAAATAAAAATAAAACGCTCGCCGTACATGGCGTACGTTAAACGGTCATTGTTTTAAAATACAATAAAATCGGTAAGTGGGTAATGTGCCAAAAGTCGTGTCACGCCGCAGCGACACAATAGTGAAAATTGCATCCAGGAACGAATGCCGATCGGCGCAACATAAATTAAACTTTTGGAGATTAATCGATACGCGCGTCGCGCGCAGATACAATCAAATTTGTCGGATATTTAGCCGCGGGAGCGAGCGTAAACGTTCGTTGTTGTAGACAAACAATTTATTCCAGCGATTTGCTCTGGAGGCTATTTTGCTAAATATTAACTACGGCTAACTGTATTAATAATTGCTGTGATATCAAAAAGTAGTTTTCTAGTTTAAGCGCAATTTTAACGGAGGAATAAAGCGAAATTTTGAGGAATATTAGAATGTTTAATAACTCGCAAAATATTCTTAGAAAAATGTTAAAAAACTCATTTTATCAAAGAAAAAATCAAAAATTTGTATTTTTCAAGTAGAAATCGCGAAAAATTCATTTAACAAATTAAAAATTATAATAAAACAGTAAAATTTCATAATTTGGAGAACATAAAACAGTATTTATCAGTTCTGACATAAAATAAAAAAACCATATCTACTTCATTATCCACGCCGCATTATTTACCGAACAATTTTATTCGTTTTTTCATCATTTTTCTCTCATTTTTTACGTTTGTGATAAAAAATTTACAAAAAAAACTTACTCCCAGCATTCTTACCTTTATGAGACAATATATACCTCTCATTGTATTAAAATAAAATTTCAGCAACTATTAATTATCTAAAATTTATCTAATGATAATTTGCAACTATTTGGACAGTTGCTTTCACTGCACATCTAAAAGAACACTTGACACTGCCTACAAATACCCGTAAAACTCTAAAGGACATTTAGGAAAGCGATACTTATTCAAGACGCAAATTTCATAATAAATTAATGCCTACTGACAGTACTGGGAGAGCGCTGCCGACGTTGATTGGACACTGACAATGGCGCCTCTCGTACCTTTGCGAAAACATGTAAATTAAGTGTCTATTCACATGGTAAATGAGATGTAACCAGCTCGAAAAGAAAGTTACAAATTTATCAACTGCTATAGATAGCACATTTTTACCACCTCATAAACGTCACGTTTGTTTTACATCTCCCAACATCACAAATTTCTTTTTCTCCTCTTATTTCTCTTATTTTTTATTTGTTTCAGTTTCTATTGTGTTCTATCACACACTTCAATCAAAACTAAATTTATTGCGCGTTGTTGTTTTTTATTGTGTTCTCCATATTGGGAATGCGTCAGAAGAAATAGTCATGCCGATTGACAGGATTAGAAACAATCACGAGTGAGAATAGTTTCGAAGGTCGAATTCGCAAGAAGAAAATATTTCATCTACGCTCGGTTAACTTTGGAGTTTCTGACAGTTGACAGTAGAAATGTGTAGCACACATATGTAAATCACCATGCGATACGGATACTAGTAAATCATGAATATATCTTCTTAATTTTAAGAAAATATGACGACTTTATTTCCGTCACTCAGATTTATGCATATTCTGCGGCAGTAAAAAATATGCACGCATTAAATAACAACTTAAATAGTGTTTTGTGTTTATTAAAATGATTAATGGTATATTAAGTATCAAGTGGTTCCATCCCGTGACTAAAGCCCGTGACTAAAGTATTTTATTCAAGACTTTGGCCGTCCGTGTCTAAAGTACCACTTTTTGTGTCTCAAAACCGTAGAAATTAATATATCATCTTAATTTTACGAAAATATTGGAATTCTGTTTCCGTCACTTAGATTTATGTGTATTCTGTGGCAGTAAAAAATATGCACGCATAAATATTAACTTAAATAGTATTTTATGGTTATTAAAATGATTAATATTGATTTATTGCTTTCCTAACAGCAAAATGACGTTTATTCAGTGTGCAATTCACTCTAAACTACATCGTTTACCTAAAACATGTTACATCAGCGCTTGGTAAGTGATAAATTAGCATAAAAACATTTTTTAAAGAAAAATTCCTAAAATTTTAACTTTTTTTTTTAATTTATGTAATATCCCAATCTCCGTCATTAAGCAGGTGTCGTAGATGCAGTATAAATTATTAATTATATAATTGGCAGTAAATTAATAACAGTACTTTGCCGGTGTGTGCACTGCTCACGTCTCGTCTAATCAATCGCAGGAAAGCGGTGCTCGTAAGTTTTCTTCGACACAACTTTCAAGTCCGACAGGAGTATAAATAAATTAACATATACAGGCCACGGGACATTGTGCAAAATGCATAATAGATCAATCAAAATGTGTTTATGCGTTGATTTATAAGCGATCTTATCAGAATCGTAGCAGTGTAGCAGGATCTGAACGAAACTAATTTGCATGCGAAAATACGCAAGAATTCAAAGAAATCAAGCGATTTCAGCGCGGAATGCTAAATGCAAACTGGATGATTGTATTGTATGAGTTGTTGTGGACTTCAATAAGCTTGTACCGGATTAGGCAATCGGCTTGTTACGATCTCGAAAGCTTTTCATACGCAAGTTATCGCTTCATTTCAAATGTGTGCATGCACATGTTCGCTCCGCGTGCAGATGGCATTAACGTCATTAGGTTTGCACAACTTTAATAGACATTATAATTCAACAATGAGAGGGTGTTGGTGTAAGATCCACTGTGCAAATTTGCATACAAGTATCAGTTGAGTAGAGGAGTAAGTACTTTGCACATGCTGATGATTACTTTAAATTAAATATAAATAGGTGTAGATGGGTATGGCAAGAGGTAGAAATGAATTTGTTGTTAAGAAAAGAAGAAAAAGAGAAATATTTTGAATTATGGTGGAATTTTGAGTTATTTTAGTAAAAAAATGGATTGTTGTAGTTTCTGAGGTTTTATTTTTAATGTTTTTTGAAAAAAAAAAATCGAAAATTTTGAAGTTTTTTTTTGTCAAAAAATTAAATTTTGTTTTGAAAATCATAATAAAATAAATTTTAATACTTAAAATTTTATTTTTCTGTTTTTCTGAATATTATGAGTGAAAAACTCAAACAAAAATTAAATATGACGAATGCCAAGCCCCTGCTTCATTATACTCGCACATGTAGGTACTTACTACTTGTACTCACTTGTATGTAGGCTCCTCTTGCATTGCAGCAACCGCACAGCAAGAAAGCAAAAAGGAAAAGAGTTCAGTAAGCCAATGCGATGATGTTTACACATCGATCGGCCTTACAGGTAGACGCATCAAGGCTGTCAACCTACTCGAATGCAAGCAATAACAACCACAACAATAACGTAATACCTCATTTTTGTGATCCACCACACACCCAACAACACACGCGTATTTAATAAGTGCTGTCGCTGCAATTCTAGCACTTTTTTTGTAATTCGCAAGTTATGAAACCACTACACTACAATATAACCTAACCCAAAAAAAACTATTATACAACTTTAAAAGAATTTAAAATATATCCGACCATGTTTGGATAAAATTTTATCTTAATTGGAATTCAATAAATTACCTTGATCCACTTGCCAAGTCCGAAAACTTCAAATTTATTATTATATTTGGTTCTAGAATAAAATTAGGCACCGAAAAAAATATACAATTAATTAATATGTAAATGGCTTTAAACTTCCGTTCACATTATGTCATTTAGCTTGCGTTAAAAATAAAAACCATGTCAGATAATGAAGCAAACAATAAATTAAAAAGTTAAAAATTGCAAAATGTGCAAAAATTAAACGTTAATCACACATGTGATGTCTCCTGGCAGATGGTAAATATATGTCGCCTATTCACGGCGTAAATTAACCATTAGAAGAAATTTTCGAGAAGAAAAGATTCGAAAAAATTGGTACCTAAACCATACAAAATTGATAATTTGCCATTTAATGTTCACCATTTCTCACAATCAGCCGCACACCGTCGATGACAAAGCAATAAAACGGTTCAAAACCGCTGCACGTAGAAAGTTTCTGACATTGAACTCATAGAAATTCATTCTTATAAACGCATATGTTAATTACACACTACACATTTGAAACGAATTTGGTTTTTCACATGGTCACGTCAAGGCTACACAAAAAAAAAACACAACACAAAACAATGGCCAACATTTTGGAAAATAAAACGTAAAACAATTCACGAATTCACACCACTTCATCATTAGCCAGCCTTTCTTCTCTTTTACTCGTATATTATTCATTGCTTCCTATTCCTGTTTAATTCTTTAGTTTATAGTTGTTGCCATTTGGAAATTAATGCAAAGGCGCGCTTGCTGTGCGGTCCAATTGAATAGAATGGCGAGTAATACAATAAAGCAAATAATAAACAATAAATAACAACGGGCGTAATTGTTGATATAAAACAATTATGTATCAAGACAAAGAGAGAGAAAGAATTGTAGAAAGGTTTTGATATTCCATACGACGTGTGAAGCAGCTCGTTGCAGATTTCGATCGCGCTCGAAAAGTGTTGAGATGAGGAACATCAAGTACAAGAAGTGAAAACATGCATTCACACTTGTACAAAACCGTGTTTTAAATAAAAATTAGAATAAGTACTTACATTTCATGTTATATGAATAAATATAACTCTGCCGGGACTTCCGTAGAGTCTGAAATCACAATAAAAGGAGATTATTACTTAAAGGTTTATTATAAACAGGAAAAGTATGTTTGTAACGCTTTTATGCAAAAACCACTTAACGAATCTTGATAAAATTTGGTATGGAGATATTTTGGACCTTGGAGAATAACATAGACTACTTTTTGACGCAAAAATTTAACTTAAAGCGTGAGAAAAATGACTTTGAAGTTTGTGCAATGAAAAAGATAAATGACACTGATTTAAATATTACAATTTTTAAATATAAATAATCCCAGTCAGGAAATAAAAAAATTATCACGGATAAAAGCAAGTAGTAAATATGTCCAAGCAACGATTTCGTATTTTCCATGTTTAAATTCTGATTAGGTACACGAGTTTTCAATTTGTGCATGCGCGCATTTCCTTTTCGATACATTTATGATGATATGCCATACTGGAAGGCATAAACGAGTTAATAAATATGTATGTACAATGCACATGTGCGCATGCGCCTCTTTCGGTGATGATTTTTCGATTCATGAAAGTTTCCCATGCGATTTTCACTTTAACTTCAACATCTTTGGAGCAAAGCAAAACCAAATACTGCCATGAGTTGAAATTTATAAGAGTCATCTATTAATTCGTCTGTTTTTAATTGCCTCTGGTTATTAATATAATAAATCGTAAATGTTACAACGTTAAAAGGTATAATAGATCCGATTAAATTCTAATTCAAAAACGCGGTCGTGATTAATAGTCTATTAATTCGATACACATGTTGTGCCTACACACAGATTATTATAAATTAACGATGAAAGTTCGCCTGGGATTTGGTTATGGATGAAACTCAACTTTATCAACATTTCAAGTGTTTCTGATAAAACGTTGATGAAAGATATTTTACATGCCATGGTAATGAATTTTTGAATTCGAATTAATCGACCATTGTTTTCAGTTCGTCAAATTCGTCGTGCGTACTTATCCGATTTTCCGGTTTTGGTAAATTGATTAAAACAACAATTTAAATCGTCGAAGCTTAAGTAACTTAAGCAAGCATAGTAACCCAGTTACAGTTGAGATCTTAAACAAAGCCGAACACCAGTCAAGGAGGCAGGAAGAAAGAAGATCCGAGACTAGTATTTCGTGCATTAGGTCATTTCAGACCATATACAACATCGTCGTGCTGCCATGGTCACAAAAAGCGCATCACATCACGATGGAATACTCTATTACACGTATACACGCAGGTTAAGCGCATGCGCATGCAGGTCAGCGAGTTCGACCGGGTTAAACAGCTTTTCGATTCGATCCGATGATGAACCGACATGATTTTGATATTATTTATCATGTTATGATCGTTTTACATTTACTTTAAGTACACAAGAGTATGTTTTATGAGGCGAAATGAATAATTAAAGAATATTTTCAAAAATCGAAAGAGAAATGTATTATTTATGTGTAAATAATGATAATAATTGTAACTGTAATAAGACTAAATAAGATAATTGAAGGCTTTGGGTGTTGCATGTAAGTGAACTAAAATTGACAAGGAAAGTTGCCAGCGAGTGGGCAGCGAACGGCAAGGCTCAAAAATTAGCGGCGCACAGATAAAATCTCTCGCGAAGATGTGTAATTTTCACCGATTTAATTGCGCCGTATAATAAATATTTGCTATATTATCGTAAATGTTTAAACGCTCACAAATTATAATTGGAGAACAAAAATTACGCGCACGTGAATTAAATAATTAAAAAAACATTAATAACTTAATCGCAAAAACGTTAAAATTTAATTGTTTAAGTTAAAATAGAAAAAAATTAAAGAAAAAATTGGCAAAATGTGAAATTTTCGATTTTTAAAGTGTAAAATTAGAAATAATAAAAAAAAAGTAACAAAATTAAACGAAACAAACGTAAATCTTAAATTTTTTTACTTTTTATCTAAAAAAAAGTCAAAATTTTTAGTTGATGAAAAAAAATGAAAAAAAAATGTAAGAAAAAAGTTGTGAAATTTAATAAAATAACAGCAAAACTTAAAATTTTAAGCAAAACTGAAGAAAAAGTTACAAAATTTAATATCTTCATCGCAAAATGTTAAATTTCCAAACATTTCAAGTCAAAAAGGGGAAAAGTTGACGGAAAAAACACTAAATTCATGCATCACGCGGGAGTATTAATCACGGTGCTTGATAAACGTGAATTCATGAACACCGCCACACGATACTTTCATGTTTATCCACCGTAATTACCGATGTTGCAGAAGTGCAAGCGAATTTGTTGATTCAAAACGCTCAATTTCACTTTTTTCCTATTACTTACACTAAAACTTAAAAAATAAAACCAGTGTACGAATTCAAAACCGCACAACGCATGTACTTTCGCAATTACCTCCACAAAACTTAAATAAATAAACGTTTCCATTTAGACGCACAATTACAATCCAATCTTGAAAGACAGCCATATATTATTATATGCCGCGAAGCGACGATGAAGACAAGCGCAAAAAATCCGCGCGCGCAATTGTAAATGGTGAATGCGAATCTACGCGAGAACATGGAACATCTTCCTCGTTGCGATGTGTCCCGAAGGCACTGGCCTGTGATAACAAACACAAGAGCGTTGTGTGCTTGTGCGAATGAAGCGTGTAATGCAACTTCAACTCAGCGCGTTGATCATGCATGAAAGAACAGTTACGACGAGCGCGCCACAACTTCGAACAGCAAATCATAAATGCAGAATGGTGAAAATGAGTGTGGTTGTGTTTTTGCGTTAGAGATCAAGGAAGTTTATGATGAATGTATTTCTCTGCGTTTAATTTACGTTGAATATTCGTTGAAAATCACGACATATTCGTTTTCACACCTTGCGCATTGAGTTTTCACGTTCGGCGCCGACTCGATTTTCGCAGATTTACACTTTCTTAAACTTTGTACGAATTAAGGAATCCAACACGCACTTAACCTTTTAACTGCACAGGTCAGATAGATATGTAAATGTCAAAATCTTTTCTTGTGAGATTGAAAGAACGCGATTCGTTTATTTTGAACTTTTCAGTCATTACACACGCTTTGTAATAAAAATAATAAAGTGTAGAGTGTGGCTAAGGAGTAAACTGCGTGCTCGAGAATTAATTGGCCGGCGAACCGATGTCAGTTATTAATTGGCGAACGTGTTAATTAAGCAAAACGGATGAATGTGCCTTCACATACGCTCGAATTGCAAATAAATTAACCAAACTATTAAGGATATTTAGTTTTTACGTTAAACATAGAAAAAAATCAAGAAAAAAGTTGAAATTTTTAATAAATTAATTATAAAATGTTATAATTAGTTAAGTCAAAATATTTAGTTTTTTAATAAATTTCTTTCGTTTTTTTATACTTTTACAAAACAATCATTAAAAAATAATAATAATTTATTACTTTTGAGGTTATAAATAATTTTTATCTTTTTTTAAGTTTTACCACGCATTTTCCTTTCAGACAAAATTTACCTCTAATAATCCAAGATGAATGACCATAAAATATTGCCGGTGGCCTGAAGCCTGTAACGAATGAGTAAATCTACCATTTTAAGGTCAAAGTCTCGCCGAATATTTACCATTTAATATTTATTAAAAAACGTAGGCAGTAGAAACGTGACAACGCCGACATTACATCTACACCGACGGAAATGTAGTTTACCAAAGTAGTACAATGGCAAATAGATTAAACATCTCCATTTAAGTCGCAAAATAATCAACATTCGCAAAAAATCCAAATCAAATTTAATAAATAAATAACTTAATTAGTCATTATATTTCTCTTTTAATTCAGCGATGAAGAAAGTTAATTTCATTAACGACACTTTTGTTGCGGCACACGTAGGTTGGCAGTGAAAACACATCGACAATTTCAGGTTCGAGTGTTGATTTTCCATAGAACTCGACTTAACTCAGATTCGGAACGTGAAACTCCACACTCCACACACGCAGGCGCAGCGTACTCACACAAAGCGTTTTCCATTTATGGCAGAAGCCAAAGCAGCGAGCATCTGGTGCCCAATCTAAACGGCTGCGTCGATCAGTGTTTATATTTGGCACTGACGAATAAAGTATAGTATTCCATGCGGGTATAATATGTGTTTTGCTATAATAATGTACCTGCAGCGCAAACATAAGCTACACACACGTAAAGGAGGAAATTTATAGTCGTACTGATTATCTCTTTACCGGTTTGTCTTTTGGTTCTATACATGGTGAGAAAGTTGAATTATTTTCTCCATATTTCATCCATTTTTTCTCAGCCTGGACCTAGATTATTACATCCGAGTAAAATGAACATGTAGCAACTAAAGTTGTCGATTTTGGTTGCGTGTCACCATAGATGTAACATACTCAAGGTTCTTTCGGATGTTTCTCGGTAATAATTCATGAACCGTGAAGAAATCGATCTGAAGACGGTATATGACATGATAACTATGAGAATAACGTCGCGAGTTATGACTTGGATACGATTTCATTGCGACTCAATCAAATATAGACATACTCGTACGCGCAAATAGAAATAAAAAAAAGACACAATCAACCGTTAAAAGAATACATAGAACATAAAATATCGCATTACGGAAGTAAGTACTTCGATTACTTGCTTTACGAGTGACAACAACAGCAACAAGACGTAAATCGCAAAAATTATCGAAGATAATATTTAATGATCTGCAATTATCAACAAATTTATAAATTATAATTTAAATTTTAATGACATGTGAAAGTCAAGCGGACGAAAAACTAAAATCTAAATTTAAATGATTTATTAAGTGCTAAGTAGCGAATTTATGGGCTTAATTGCCGGATATTTGATTTCATTGTGATGTTTTGATATTATAATTATCGCCGAAAAAAAATGGCAAAAGACTTGGCACACAGGATGTGAATTTCGATTTGATATTTACCAAATAAACGGTATCTGTGTATGAATATATAAATATACGTGATAATTAAGTGAGTCGTTTTTATTCAGCGATCTGATTAGAAATATACGGTTTTCGT